GGCATCGTGAGTATAGTAACTGGACACGGCTGGTTGGGGAAGAAAGCTCAAGTGACCAGCAATGAAAGGCAGCCCTATGGACAATGGCGACTTGGAATTCGGAGAAATATTTCAAGGTGCTGCCGAAGACGATTTAATTTACCATCACAGATAGTCGTTCACGTGTGTGTGTGTGTGTGTGTGTGCGTGTGCGTGTGTGTGTGTGTGTGGGTGTGACCGTAGCATGTATTCAATTAAAATTTCACAACATTTGCAAGGGTAAAATGAGCAACTTAGACCCCATTCCCAGAGATTAGATCGATCCAAACTACATGTAGATCGACCTAACTCTTTGGGGGTTTACGCTAAATAGCTGTCAGCCGAGCGGGCACGAAAGTTAATTACCCCCTTACAGTTTGTAGTAGGCGGGACGGACATTTAAGCGGGATTATCTGACAGTAATCTAGTGAGACTCCCCACGGGGATAGATCGATCTCAAATCTTTGGAAATACACTCTTATTCTTTCTTCCCATTATATGATCATAAAACCGATCGTGATAAATAGTTATTTCGGTACATGTACAATGACGGTTAAAACACAGATAATCTGACAGACAGACCGCTTATTAATTAACAGACAGATATACAGACGGACAGTCAGGCAAAGAAAAACAGACAGCTTGACAAACAGACAGGCGGATGGAAGAACCTAAAAACAGCGGATTGACGGCTTGGGTAAAAGATAAGCAAACAGACAAACAGAGAGAGAGAGAGAGAAAGAGAGACAGAGCGCACCGATAGCGAGAGACGTATATGTAAAATGACCAGATATCAATTTAAGACAGATCAAACAGCGGAAAAGAGAGACGGACAGAAAATCAGATACGCAAGTAAAGAGAACACACTATTAGTTAACTACCCAAGCATCAAGTTATACATGTAAGTCTCATTTCCCCTGCCGTCACAACCACAAATGTGTTAGGTGAGGCACCGCATTCCGCGATTCACGAGGAATTTGATGCCATAAATCTCAAAAAGCAATCAGTGTTTTATATCTTGCTAATATCATTTTGAAATAAGATGCCACAGACCGAAATGTTAATTTAAGTGGAACTGTTATTTGTATTTCAATGAAAAAGACATTCCCAAGCCCCGAGGTCATAGAACTATCCCACTTTCTTTTCTTTCCTTTTCTTTCTTTGGTTTCCGCATTCTTTTTTATTTTTCGTACTCAGAAGCTAATGCCCTGATGACTTATTCACATGTAGGAGTGATCATCAATAAATTAACGTCCAAAACGCTAATGTCACCCTTTACGTGGCGCTTACCTCTTATTCATTATTTTGTTCCAAAATATATTTAATTTTAAGTGACACATAGTGTTTATCAGGCAGTGACCGGGCCCAGGTGAAAATCCCGTGCGGATTGTCGCATGGCAACAGTGACAACACGCTCGGTTACTTAGGTCGCATTCACAACAGGGGACTAACAGATCCGCGGATCAAATATGGCCGACACTTGAATGCTTGTTGCGTTATCCCCGCGGGGAACTTGTTCAGTGTCTATTAGGGGATTACGCGGCAAGCTTTTATGTAGGTCGGCCATATTTAATCCGCAGATCTGTTAGTCCGGGGATCAAATTGTTCTGAATGCGGCCTTAGTGTAGTCTATTGGCTTTAGGCGAAACGTCAGGCCTCATATCATCTACATGTACTGTGCGACAGTTTCCTGTACGATATTTGATTTCCATATCGTTCTATACATCCAACTCCGCGGGGACTCTCGCTGATTGCAACCTGATAAACAAATCCTCTTGTTACCAACGTACTCGTATAATCACCATGTGTCCTGTATTGTACTCGACGCCAAAAGGAGGGTGTTAATCTGATTGCATTCAGCTAGATTCCCCGCAGAGTTGAATCTATCTACAAAGAACGATAGTTTCATTGGGAATGGGCCATTTAATGTTACTTAGACTGGGTTCCCAAACTTAGATCGATCCATCTGGATCGACCTAACTCCCTGGGGGTTCACGCCAAATTGCTATCAGTTCAAAAGATAATTACCCTCTAACAGCTTTACTAGGCGTGACAGACATTTAAGCCGGCCAAGTTGACAGCAATTTAGTGAGACTCCCCAGGGAGGTAGATCGACCCCAATATCTGTGGGAATGTCCTCTTAATCCTTGACATCCAAACAGTGTGGACTACAACAAAAAATACGGATACGGAATACACGATATTTGATACGGGATATAATTAAGATTCGTAGAAAAAAAATCATCCGACATCCTTTTCACGGTCTGAGTGAGGGTGAAATTGGCAAAGATGATGCGTGAATTAAACGGTCAGTCATTGTTTAACTAAAACTGCGGTTTAACTATAACACAGCACATCAACCGTATTGTTTGTGAGATAGGCGCTGGCGGATCCAGAGGTTTGTTATCTCAGATTGTACACAAGGAAAATGATTTTGTTTTGATTCACTCGGCATTGAATGACAGTCGAGTGAGGTTTAAATTTAATATGTAGCCCACAGGAGTAAGAAATTGCTTTGTTTCCCTTGCCACGTGTGTGTGTGTGTGTGTGTGTGTTTAAGTGTGTGTGTGTGTGTGTGTGTGTGTGTGTGTTTCTAACGGGTAGTTAGGAGAATGCCAGACTGAATAAGGGGTACCGGATATATAAAGTTAAGCGTGGGGATGGGAGGGGGTGCTGACCACTGTAATCCACACACCCCCACCATTCAGATGAGCCATTGATATATACACCTTATCCAAAAAACGCCGTGACACGCGTCGTGTTTTTCATATGACCTCAAGGCTAAGAATGATATAAATGGTGGGTATGACGCGTAACTTGACACTAAGTGCACCGTCAACCCAGACAAATTACCCCGCTCAGGTAGCGCCTAACTGTTTATTATTGGTAAATGTGAATGGAATGCTTCGCTTACTCTTTTCAAAGTACTATAGTGACTGTATGTAATATTGGAATGAACAAAAAAATTGTTTTCAAAATTATCGTCTTTATTCCAACCTTCTTTCTGAATTAACAAAGTAAAGCCATCCAGCTGCTTACAGCAAATCTCTCTCTCTCTCTCTCTCTCTCTCTCTCTCTCTCTCTCTCTCTCTTATTCAAAGAATGTGACATACAATTAGCAAAAATATAGTTCAGTCACTTCCCTTTACGCATACTGGTGCCTCCAAGAATCCAAATGGCGTTAAATTGCTTGTGATAACTTCTTTGACTAGAAACAATACAAACCATACAGAAGGAAAAGGAAATTGTAGTTTAATTGTTCTGCTACGTTGCTTCCATGCTTGCTTAAGCAGAAAAAAATATTTTACTTTTTTCTCTTTTGTGTGGTATAATTAGTACGCATGTGCAAATTGACAAAAGATGGCGGAAACTCTCGAGGAACTATCCATCTTCCTCACAACCTGCTTTCGACAGAGAAAGGATATGGGTGGTTTTCCGAGTGACATCCTCTTGTACAAAGCGTCCCGATAATTTCTCAAGTTTGATTCAGCAATAAACCTCCAGCGTTTCCTAAACAAAAACGCATTGTCCTCCGTTTCAAAGCAGATTTCATAAATGAGCTTCGATTAAACAAATTGTTGTAACGATTGGGATTCGAACGTGGAAAACAGCATTTATTTGTTCTGTAATCTAGATCTGACGAAGACTGAGTCATAAACTGCCTTTTGATATTCACCGCGGACAGAAAAAAAAATCTACATTACTGGGCGCAATATCTATGTAAACGCTATTATTAACTAAGGGCGAGAGAAATAAAGTCTACATACTGACCAACTTTTGCGTGGACAACTTACCACATCCATGACTAAAATGCATAAAATTACTCCTTACAAGAGCTAAATTATTAGCTTAGGCTGACCGTAATACCAGTAAAAGTCGTGAGGAGTGAATTATGGTTCCAAACAATGTACATTTAAACGATAAACCAAGAGGTAATGTTCTTTATTGACAGATCGTATCTGTTAAGCGTGTTGTAAAATTAAATGCGTCCCATAATGTTACGATAAAATAGATTTCTGGAACAAGTTTTCCATTTTTAAGGAAAGGCTATGGAAAATTAAGTTGAAGCTATATTGTGCATGCTTTACACACATACAAGCGCACACACACTTGTGCCCGCACACGCACAAACATACAGGTAAACACATGCACTCGTACATGTATTTCCCCATGCGCGCGCACACACACACACACACACACACACACACTTAACACGCACGTGCACGCATATATTCTCTCACACGTTTTACCTACTGATATGCTACGCAAGTTGAGATGGTTGTTTTATATCTCTCTGTGCTTCACCACTCACTATTTTTTACGTATGACAGTGGTTTTTAAATTATGCGATGGGTATTCGTTAAAGGAATCTAATAAAAAAAAGATGAACACCCAATTTTATTTTTCACAGCTTCCATTATATAACTTTTTACAACATCTCAGAATCTCGCGATTTTACATAATTTACATGTAAAAACCGTGTATCTTTCGTTAAGTGTAAAAATCAGAAGGTACATAAATACATGCTTATCTAGAAAAACCAAAAAGTATGAAATTTAAAATGCGGAGACTTTAACACAAAGGCATGTGGTCTTTTAGATGAGGCTTGTTCTGAATATAAGTATGTATGTGCCATTAATATAGAAATAATTCAAAAATGCAAGCACCGCAATTAACGCACCAGGAACTGTGATTTAGTTTACCTTCCAAGATGTTAAGAAGACCCTTCATTTCAACTTCATGCGGTTTTTAAGTCATTAATGTACTTTATCATTCTAAAGTGTCGAGAAAGGAGCGAGTCAGTTGATATTAATGGCACTTAATGAAAAAGTATTAAAACCGTGCGTTAGACACAGTTAGTCAAACAATAAATTATTCAGTCCTTAATGTGAATTTAACGGCCATACGTCTTTGTGTTGTTTCTATTAAATATTACAAAAAAAGTTTTCAAAGTATGAATTATTTCATCATATTATTTTATGTTGGTCAATATTTCAAGAAAGACGGGGCAGTAATTTGCATTATTTTCTAATTGAAGACGGTTGGAATTTACTCTCATTGCATACCGGTGGTCTACTCTATACCGAAGCAAATGTACACTCACAGGTGAACGCTTACAGGTATATGTATCTGGAGACACATATTCAGTTCAGCAGACGCCTTTGAGTTACGCTGCAGACGACAAGCGCTCAAAGCAGACGACAATCGATTTGAGCGAAAACATAGACAGTTGACGTTTTTATTTGAATGGAATTCTAAATGTCTGTACTTGCTGTCGTTAATCCATTCAAACTGTGGACATCACTGCATAATTTTGAATGATTTTCGAGCAAACGTGACACCGCCATTTTGTTGGGGTTAAGAAAGCCATGTTGACTCTTTGGGGAATGAGGCAGACACTGGGAGACAAGCAAGGGACAACACTTCAACAATGGCTGACAATCATCTGCCTTTCTCTTCTAGGACTTTCAGGGATTGCACTAGCTCAAGGTAATGTAGCAGACATTTTTATTCTTAGACTACTTTCACTACAAGTTTACCAATTAGCATACCATTCACGTTGTCTAGAATCCACCCTTCTTGCGTAATGTTTCTTCTTTGAAATTGACACAGATATTTCATCTTAGATGTAAATAAAAGTGGCGGAGTAATAATTTTGCAAAAAGTTAACATAATAACTAATACCATTGCCTAGGGACATACATGTACGGTAGTCCCCCCCCCCTTCCCTTTATGCTCGGAAGGACTATATCTAACCCTGTGGAGCATGCAGTCACATTAGCAAGTGCATATGGCACTTAATTGTATTAAATGGGCAAATAGACCCTTTCTAAGGTCTGACGACTATATAGTTACATTGTATTATGACATATCTACATGTATCATATAAATATCTCGGAAGATACTTAGAATACTAAATTGCAAAGAAACGCCAATAATCTTAGCCATTAGCTTATACATGTATACACGTACATGTTTGAAAATGAGGAAAGAATAAAGCTCCGATCAATTACCTGAGTAGGCAGCAAAAGTGACTAATAAAGATATTTCACTTTTACGTGTCTTTATTTGTCGACAATAACCCCCCTTTCCTTCTTACAAGCGAAAGGAGACAGACGTCTATTCTACGTAGTGCTATACAAACATATTCTGATCCTTCCAATATGATTATCATGCTGATATTAAAGGGATAATAACTCTTCGTTTTGGCCAAAAAATGAATTTTCCTGGAGTAAAAAAAACCTTTTTCCATACATTTTCCAATGGTTAATGAATCCATTTTTACATTCAAAGTTAGTCCCTGTTTTTTTCTAAAAAGTTTTGTTTTTTGTTAAAATCTCTTAAGAGATTATAACAGAGTATAGCCATCAATGGAGGTCACGTGGTCTAAAGACAAGCTCAGATATCAGAATAATAGCTATAACTGCCGTTTTTGTAGTAAAACAGAATATATTATATTTCTATGAGTTATTCACAATGTTTTTCATCGTGAAATATAGGTCTCATACGAAGAGTTATTATCCCTTTAATATTAAATTACTATTTTGCTAGATGTCGCAAGTCCTCAGTGCTTCACCAGCTGTTTTCACTGACAGAATCGTATAAAAAACAACTAAAACCAGCTGGCCGAGTTATTCAATTTATTTATTTATTTATTTATTTACCAACTCATCCATCCATGCGTTCATCTGTCTGTTTATCTATCTATCTATCTTCTTGCCTATCTTTACCACTTATTTACTTGGTTATTTTATTATGTCCTGTTTATAAATCAACAACTTACCCAAAATTCCAAGTTTTATCTTTTAATAATTATAATAATAGCAATAAATAGTAGTACATGTAGCAGTAGTAGGCACTAGCAGTGGAAGTGATGGTTGTTTTGTTGTTGTTGTTGTTGTTGTTTATGGTGGTGGTGGTGGTGTTATTGTTGTTGTTGTAATTGTAGTAATGATGTAGCTGTGGTAGTAGTAGAAATGTAGTACTTGTATAACGTCCTTGATAAATGATTTCAATTAAGGACTAAAACCGATTCACGTAAGGTTCCAGAAGACTACCATACCCGGTCTTAAAGCAAATGCACGATTTCAGTATCTTTTAATTAATTAAGAACACCGTAAAACCTTCCCCTTGGCGACTGGAATCGCTGTTGTATTGGACGCCTTAAATGATCACAGTGAAAGCTAACTAGTTGCTGTTGGCAAATAAGTCTTACATTGTAATACGGACAGGCATCAAGAAATAGATATAAATATGTATTATGTCCTTTGAAAAAGAAAGCCATTAGATTCCATATTTAACGGATCTATGGCATTACTTGAAAATGTCTGAACATATCTAGAAGAATTAATGCATTGATGGTACAAGTATGTTAAATTATACTCATTTCGATGTTACAGATAGCCAATTGTTACCTTTAAATGAACTTCTCTCTTATCATAATTGCATCACCAAAATCTCATAAAATGGACAACGTCTTATTATACACCGCTGTCAACCGCAGTAGGGATAATGTACGACGAATTTTTTTTTTCCTTTAACAGCAAGGCGCATTAATCTCTAAGTTTTGATGACTTCTGCAAAAAAAAAAAAGGCTATCTAGATGATTGAAAACAAGTCATTACCAACAACATTTCGTCTTTCGTCACAGATTTATAGGTTTTGATAATGATACTGTCACCAGCGCTGCGTTTTATCTCAAACCCATCTATTTTAAATTCCAAGACTTCAGTTATTTGAATATTTTAGGCATTTCATCAATTTTTCATCACCGCTATCGCTATATCTGAAGATTTAAAAAATGACGATGTCAGAATCGTTTTTTGTTTTCGTTGTTATCTTGATTTGCATTTAAATTATTTTAATTTCAGGTAAAACTGTTTTTTTTTCTCATCATCAGCATAATAAAACCCATACCCGTAGATTTTGAGAGATATAATGTCATTGACATTTCACTTATCAAATTCTTAATTCCTGTTCTTCAATTATTCTAATATTACAGATTGTACTGCTTTTTATCATCATGATAAGCATACTTGTACATTGTGAGAAAAAAATCACTTATCAACATCTTAATTCTCGTTCTCTAATGATTTCAGTGTTGCAGGTTAGGGTGTATTCCCAGAGATTTAGATCGATCCAGAGATTAAGATTTAGATCGACCTAACTCCCAGGGGGTTCACGCTAAATTGCAGTCAGTCGAGCGCGCAACATAGTTAATTACCCCCTTACAGTTTCAGTANCAGAGATTAAGATTTAGATCGACCTAACTCCCAGGGGGTTCACGCTAAATTGCAGTCAGTCGAGCGCGCAACATAGTTAATTACCCCCTTACAGTTTCAGTAGGCGGGACAGACGCTTAAGCCGGCCAAGCTGACAGTAATCTAGTGAGACTCCCCACAGGGATAGATCGATCTAAAATCTATGGAAATGGGGTGTTATACTACATTCTCATATTTTAATCTTTTAAGATTGAAATTTAGCATACATGTATCTGTAGATGCTCTAGAAAATCGAGAACGTTCTATCTAGAAACGCTGCATTTTATTTCGTATCTATCACAATCCCAGTTCTCTAAATATATCCATATTTATTTCCAAACATTTCCAAAAGTCATGCTGTGTGAAGAAAACGGGGACTACATCGCCGACTTCTACGACCATTGTATCTACTACCGCTGCGTCGTCAACCCCGCCGACAAACTCTTCTTCATCTACAAAATGCCCTGCCCGCCTGGGACCCGAGTGCGCTCGGAATTTCTAAAACTGGGGACGTTACACGACGAGGCCCCGTGTGCGATGAGGAGAAAACGATCGACGAGGCGCAGGCCCGACCCATGCGAGCGTCACGGTGAGTGTGATGTTTTAATATTATTTTGTAATCTTATGCTTTTTTTAAAATTTATATATATTAACAAAGTTTTCGATCACTACTGTGAGCTTCTCTGTCCCATTGAAACATGGGATTTTATCTCTTAAACATCCTTAACTGAACGCAATCATTCGCAAATAGTGAAAATGTGTAAATGACAACAGACGGTTACTCGTACAAACACGCATATAAGCCTGGAAGATGCACTCTCAATAGAGGTGTGGCGTACAGAAATACATATTATGTGTGCATGAATTTATAGGATTCTCTGAGGCTAGTTTGCTGTGAAAAAAAATCGTATTTTAATACAAAAGAATCATATAGTTTTAACTTGAAAATGTCATTTTATAAGCATTTGTTTTTTTGTTTGTTTTTTTTCAAGATACAAAAGAATCACATACAGCTGTAGTTGTAAGCTGAAAATGTCATTTTATTAACATTTGAACTTTGAGAAGTACTCAAAGTACGAATTAAAATTACTGACGGTTAAATATGAATCCGTGAATGATAATCATGTATGGCATGTTATTTCAAAGCTTGGTCAGCCTGGATGAACATGGACGAGGGAGATGAGGTCGGCGGCGAGGACAATGAATTATATGACAGACTTGAAACTAAACCGGTAAGTAAAGGGGGCATTTGAAAAATTCTGTGTGTGTGCGTGTGTGTGTGTGTGTGGGGGGGGGGAGAGAGAGAGAGAGAGAGAGAAAGAGAGAGAGAGAGAAACAGAGGAAAAGAGAGAGAGAGAGAGAGAGAGAGAGAGAGAGAAAGAGACAGAGAAAGATTGTGCACCAATGATCATCATTTGTCAGTTTTCTTTCCATTTTCCTCCATACTTTCTATTTCGATCTTCTCCGTTGTCAGCTCTCACTTTATACTTCTTTTATTTTCTTCCCTTCCCCCAGAGTCCCTGCGCGCCAAACCAACCTCCAATCGCCGCCGAGTGTCGCAGACGAGTGGACTACATGGACTCTACGGAGACCGGTCAGTACTTCGCCATCCCCTGCAGCTCCCAGGGGCTACTCTGCATAGATGACCACAACCTGCTGACCATTAATAAGACATGCGACGACTACGAGGTCCGTTTCTACTGTCCGTTGGTCTGGCCAGAAGGACAGGAACTTTTACGGCAGAATGACCTGGTCAGACAAGGGCCGTCTGTCCTGACCGGAAATGGTCCTGATGTTGACCCCAACGCCGACGGTGCCACTTCCGGGGTCGTTCAGGGTGAAAAAATAAGGACGAAATTAACTGCTGGTGGCCAGCAAGAAGCTGGTTGACACATTAATGGCAATATAGAGGATTTGAAAACGCCAAGCGTCAGACGAACAGGGCATTTCGTGTAAGACAATTTGGTCATTAGGGACCATTTCCAGACCTTATCGTACTAACTGTGGATCGATCTATCTCCAAAGGGGATTTTTGTTAAATTGCAATTAACTTAAATGTCCGTCACACCTACTGAAGCTGCTAGAGGGTTAACCTCTTGGAGATAGATCGATCCACAGTCAGTGCGATCTTGGTATGGGAACCCAGTCTTATATTCATTTTGCATTACATGCGTGTATATCGTTTACATATTTAGTTAAGACTCTATAGAAGTCTTAGTAACATTTTTAATATGTTCATGAACTGGTAAATATATAAGAACTCTTGAATAATGGAACCAATATAGACGCGCAAGAATGGCATTTTTTTTAGACGAGTTGATAACCATACATAATTTTTTTTTAGTTTGACGCAATATCTTAAGTAATAATTAAGTATACCGGGTACATCTGACTTAAAGAAGTAAACGGAATAATTAGCCACCTGTTTACAAGGCATAGGACTGACGTGGGTGAAAAAAGAGGGCTTAAGCCCCACTAACCACCCCACCCCTTCCCCCACCCTCCGTAATACAAATGTAGGGAATCCTGGTATCTGAAATGATTCACCGTCCTATATCTGCTTCACAGGTATTATATTGTTTCTGTTGCGAACAATGTCTTCCTTAGACCAACTACCGCAATTGCGATAGTGTATAACATTTCGCACGTAAGGAAATGAACGTTGGGCAGGTATATACACCGTGGAGTTTTTTTCCACGACCACTTAACGTGTTCAATGTGTAAAACACACGTTTTACATATCTTACCATGTACACTGTAGTTTACAAAGTATATTCATATGATAAATCTCCGCTAACCATGCATAAAGACAATTAAAACAATTAGTGATTCTTAAAACTGTCGATAAATGCTGTAACACAAGCAGTCCTCAGTCATTTAGAATATTGAGAAGAAATCTAAAAAAAAAAAGGTTAGCCTGACTTGATAGTAGATGTCAGTGATGCCATAAGATGGCCATAAATAAATGCAGGCGCGAAGGAAAGTAAATTAAATAAACGTAGGTGGGTGAGGGGAGGATTCTCTTGCTGCCTGCACAGAGCTTGACTCAGTTAAAAGAGTAGAGGATTTGTAATATTCAAGGTCTGAATGAAGAAATAGAAGCTTTTTGCTATGAAAATATGGCTGTGCATATACTGTGAGTGTTGATTGGGATAGGACAATGTAACGCCGAAAGATGGCGCGGTGAACGCTCATTGTAGCTGGCATAGCTAGGCATACGTGTATATTCGCTACCTCTACCCAATATGGGAATACCACTCGTGTTCTTTTAGCAAAATTATCGACTGTAATTCCTTTTTATTGGAAGTAAACGATGAAGTTATCTCATCCATTTTGTGTTGGCAACATTGTGAATCGCTGTGATATCTTTCGTCGACGAATTTTTTTAATGATTATCTTTTATTTTCAAGAACGCGTTTCGCGTGTCGTGCAGCCCATTCGCTATTTAATCATCGCTGTGGTTTTCATATAATGAGGAAAGGCAATAACGAGGAAGGTGACAAAAAAAAAGAGGAAAACGACAATTACGTCGCTGAGACGGTCTAGTTACACCGTAGTAAATAAAAATAAACGATAGTTCTGACATTCACTGCAAGTTTTTTTTTTTTTTTTTTTTTTTTTTTTTATTGGAAACTATTTGATTTTGTCAATAATGGTGGCGCACGTTTATGAAGTCACTGATGCATCCAAAATTTTGCTAGGGAGGGGGGTGGTGTGGAGCAAAAAAAAAAAAGCTTTAAAGATTGCCCCGATCAGAATACATAAAGTAATGGCTGGTAATGGGGACAGATTTATAATGATATGTAGAGCACAGTTGTGATAAAAGTACATGGTTTTGTCTCATTTCACTTGCTATATTGTTTTATCCTTTTTTTTTGGGGGGGGGGGGAGGGTGTGTGAATGGGATATCTCAGAAGTTAAGGGTGGACTACGCACCTGCTGTGCTTTCCCTTGTGTCCGATCCGAAATTGGAAGTAGAAAAAAAAAGTTTCAAAACAATCTAAAACTATTGCTGCAAATTTATCATTTTTGACGTAGGAAATCAGTGATTTTTACTTGTATCCATAGATTGACAACAATACCAATATACAGTTGCCGTTGTATTCATACATACAATTCTAGAGCAATAGGGCGGAAAGACAAATGAATGTAACATGGTACAGAACAGAATAAACTACCTTTCTGAAATCAAAGCGAGGTGATTTTTGAGAGGCCCTTGCTAATCAGCTTTTCTCGTGTTACACCTTTATTGATAAAAATGCCAGATCAACACAAGTTTTAATGGCCGAGTTTTTTTCATCGAACTCAACACCGTGACCCTAAGTCCGGGTAATTTCTCTCTTTAAAAGAGGACCCCGTATCATCATATAGCAATTACCATTCTTTGCATTTTTCCTCGATCCTGAAGTTTAATCGATTTTGGAGTTCACATTTAATCTCATAATGACTCGAGTTCTTTCATCATCCCACATACTCTTGTCATTTTGACCCAGTGTTTATGATATTGAATATCTTTCTTTTCTTCTTCCTTTTGAAGTGAGTCAACAATGAACAAAATCGACTTATAATAGTTAAAACGTTTCAAATTCATGAAACTGTTTCCATAATCAGCCCTAAATGATCTTCAACTTTATTTTCCCTAGTCTTGCTATTCAGTCATGTGCACCTAATGCTAAGAGCAAATATTGTCATGTATAAATTCCGGACGCAACCTAAACCTATATAGGAATACACAAGATTTGTTAAACTGGACACATATCTTACTGATTTTTACAAAGAAGTCTTCAAGGTACAAAAGAAGCCATTCCAGGTGTTACGATCGGTTACCTGGCAACAACTATAAACGCATGCGCGATACGCGCCTGGAGTGCGTTAGTGTGGGAACTTCAAATATACCTCTAAGTGATCCGAACCCAGCTCTCTTATATTACGTGTTGTTACCGTAATGAGCCAGAAATCAAATTTAGCAGGTGAAACTGGGAATAATAACTAATGTCAGGTGCAAGAATTGCAGGTATTCTTTGTGTTTTATCCTCAGATTTTCAGGGAAACGCCTGGCGAATTAGCAGTAACTTACGTTTAAACAAATAGGGACGGATAAAAGGCACTCATTATAAGGGAAATTTTTCAGCGGTAAATTATCCGAAACCTGACATTTTTATAATTCAATTTGATCCCTGTGACCTAGGAGGAAGGATGAAAAGGCGGACAAAGACTCTGGAAAGTCAGGTGGGGGGGAGTGCACGGCATAAACACCGCGTCGTTTTATCGCAACGATATGACTAAAGATACAATTCATCCCAAGTTCCATGAATTGAGATAAATCGGAGTTTGGGACGCTATTATGTTTTCTTGATGTCTTGATGAATATGTATCCTTTCTTTAAACGCCTGTAACTAACCAAATCAAGGAGTTATCTGCCTGAAACAGGTGTCCCGCAGAGCCTATCAAAGAAGATCCAAGAGGGGTTTGAGACGATCAAATTGCGTAGTAAAGCCGCGTGAAAAGAGAGCCCCTGCTTTTCCATCCACTGCTAATGTCTATGAATTTGTTAGTTTTTCATATAAGCGATGTTTAATTGGCGTTCGCTGTCGTCGGGATGACGGATTAGGGCGAGTTTTACTCGGCAGAAATGAGTTGAGAAAACCGACGCCGCCGCGCGCGTTGTGTTTCCCCACACGTGCGGTTAACAAATGGAGTCTGCAATCAGAGGCTTGGTCAGAGGGACAAAGACTTACCTGATTATCCATTTAATTACGCAATTAGTTTATATTCACTTGAAATGAAGTTTGTAAATGTTACGTGAACTTCAGTTTTCCGTCTTCAGTCCTTCTCTTCTCTCTACTAAGGGACACATTGTGCAGGCTTACCGGCTCATCTAACACAATCACACGTGTTTAGCGTTTGGCTTTTAAAGTGCTCTCTCTGTAGGTGGACTGAGGGAGTATCTCTCTCTCTCTCTCTCTCTCTCTCTCTCTCTCTCTCCGTGTGTGTGTGTGTGTGTGCATGCAAGTGTGTGCGAGTGAGTTGTGTGCGTTATGTGTGTTGTGTATGTGCCTTCTTAATTTGAGTCAAAGTGAAGAGATACGTGACATTATATCGAATTATGTAAGTAAAAATTGACCAAAACAGAAATGGCCCTCTAAGCTGCAATTATTAATTATTCAAAGATGTAGTATAAATGCTTTTAACTGTTCAACTCACGCATGCACATGTATTCGTGCATAAAAGAGCAATTGTAAAATACTCTTACTAGTTCTCTCTCTCTCTCTCTCTCTCTCTCTCTCTCTCTCTCTCTCTCTCTCTCTCTCTCATTTAATTCTTCCAAAGTATAAGGATATGCATTGATCGGCAATGTAGATTAAATATTAACCAGGCATTTTAACGGTTTCAATCTGAAACCTCCGATGTCCCTTTTTTCATAACAGGCCAATAATTTAACCAAAGTATTGTACTGTGTGCAGTCTGTTTTCTATGTTTGTACATGTATGTGCATGTAGTTTTAAATATCATTAAAATCAGAAACTTGTCAGAAATGGGAATATTGACAACCCTGGTGTTCTTAACAACATTTCCCGTGCAGTCCAGGCTAATTTTTTCTTTAATAAGAAATAAAATTAAATTAGATTAAATGACAGGAAAGGAATAAAATAAAATAAAATAAGATAGATTTAAAAAATAAATTAAAATAAAATAAATAAAAAGAAATGAAATTTAAAAAATGAAATAAAAGCGAACTTATTATTTGTGTCTTTTCGACAACAACATCAGATCGCCGTCAGCCGAGTTCCACGAATATTGTGAAAATGAATCACGCATTGCTTTGATTGATCGTCGGTCAATCTGAACACAATGTGAACGCGGTCTCCATGATGGATTAAGATCGCCTGCATCACGTATTTAGGTGTCGTCTGCTAAACATCTTGGCTTTGTGGTCATGACATGGTCTTTTTAAAAAATGGAGGTCCATCTGCCCTGTGTCCGTTATTGGTTATTGTTTAAGTGCGCTTCGAGCTACTTA